TACCCCCACCCCCCGCCCCAGGCCTTCACCACACTATTGTCTTTGTCCATGGGTTATGCATATATGCATATAAATTCTTTGGTTAATCTTTCCCACCCTTCCCTCTTGATTTTGGAATTTTAAATTTGTGTGTAAATTAACAATAATGAGAGGCTATGGTAATCTGTCTGTTAAGTTTTGAAAGGGGGGGGGGTCATTTGTCTCAGAAGAGAAAGGTGTGTCATGAGCCCTTGAAAATCCTTTCTTCCTATATGTACACACTGCGGTGGTGACTGTGATGTTATGGTAACTGGGGCAAGCAGTATCCTAGGTACTTTCTTCGGTTACATCAATAGTTTCTTCTGAGGGCCTGGTGAAGAACAGAGAAGTGGTTTTCCTGTGTCCTCTCCTCACCCTGTTCCCTTCAGGGAATATTTTAGCTATTTGTTCCAGTTATTATTATTTGTAGTCATTGTCAGACTTACTATATGTTTTTGTTTTGCAACATATTCAGAATCTAAGCATGCAAAGCAAAAAAAAAAAAAAAAAAACCCAAAGGAGAGCATGACTGTCCTATATATGCAAAGAAATTAAGATTTATGGAGTCATGTTCCTCAGGTGAATTTTTTCATCTTGTCCAGAACTAACCTAGGAATAATCATTTCAGCCAGTGCCTTGGAATAAAACATGATGTTCTTTGGTGCATCTGTACACGATAGAGAAAGATATTTAGGAAGAAATGGAGGAAAGATAGAGTACAAGAGAAAAGATGAGGAGAGAGAGTGGCTCAATATGAAGTCCTTTGCAATCTCAGCAGATACAAATAACAAAAGTTCCTTGCATTAGCCAGCTCTTATATTTCTTAGAACTTTTAATATGAAGAGAAGCCTCCTAGGAGAATCTCCCCTCCTCCACTATATAAACAGGCCTATTTCAGTGTCTAGTGTTTTCTCACTGTTTGAAATTGTTTGTAGTTTTTCACAAAGGAAGATACATATTTTGAACATGAATTGGGTTTCTCTTTATTTTTCATCTCTTTGAAGAAGAAATCCTAAGCATACTCGGAGAGGGGTGTGTGTGTGTGTGTGTGTGTGTGTGTGTGAGAAAACCGAATGCATGTAATTTGTTGTTTTTATTACATTCTCTGTGCTTTTTTGCCTTTTAGATTGTGATACAGGTTCCACCCCCTGGGGATGGTAGTGGTTGGCCAGATGGTTATGAAGATTTGGAGTCCGGTGATAATGGATTTCCAGGAGATATGGATGAGGGAGATACTTTCCAGTTCAGCCGACCTGAAATTTTGGTGGTGCGTGTTTGTTTGCGGTGGGCAGTTTGTGGAGAGTGCTGTCTTCTTGGCTACCTTTAGTTAGGAACTCTTGGAGGAGGGGGGAGGAATGGATGGATGTTAAAGTCCAGTGCTTAAAAAGCTGCAGGACCCTTATCCTTTATTTGACTGCGATTTATTTCTGTCTTGTTTTTCCCCCAGTTTAACTGCAGCCTGCGACAGGTGGGGAATCCTGGTAGCTTCCAAGACCCGCCCAACAGAAATATCTCCTTCAACATGGAGCTGTACAACACTGACCTCTTTCTGGTGCCGTCCCAGGGAGTCTTCTCTGTGGCTGAGAATGGACACGTTTATGTTGAGGTGAGATTTCAGCACTGGCCTTGGCCTTTAGGTTAGTGCTAAGCTGCAGTAGTAGCTCCTGGGGCGTGAGTGACAGCGCCCTGGCCCTGGAGCAGACCTTCCTGCTCTCTCTCACAGCCCCTGACCAGCTCTGGTGAGGGCTTGGCTCAGAAAATGATTCCAGCTTGATTTCTGACCAAAGCAGAAAATTTCAGGATCTGCTACATTATCCTAAACGGAGAGCGTTCTATAGATGAATGTTTTAAAAGCATTGTCAGTGTGAATTCTAATAAAGCCTGTCCTTGCTTAGCACATTTGGAACAGTAGCTTAGTAGCTGTGGTGTCAGAGTAACCATGAAATGTTTCAAACCACCTCACGCATTATCTTTTAAATTGCACAAAGTTAGTGAAATGCTGCGCTACTGTATCTCCTGAAAATTGTTTTTTTTCCTAGATCATTATTTAAATGTATCTGTACATTTATTAAAACTATTTCCTATAAGTAATGGTGGTAATGGTGCACAGCATAAGTCTGTGGAATGGCTACAAAAAGTTAGGTAGTGGTGCCTGGCTGGCGTGGCTAAGCGGTTAAGTATCAGCCTATGATCCAGGAGATTGCAGTTCCATTCTCGGTCAGGGCACATGCCCAGGTTGCAGGCTTGATCCCCAGTAGGAGGCGTAGAAGGCAGGCGATCTCATCATTGATGTTTCTATCTCTTTCTCCCTCTTCCTTCCTCTCTCTGAAATCAATAAAGACATATTTAAGAAAAAATTAGGTAGTGGTGATAATAATAACAACAGCTGACATTTACTGCAGATTTATTTTGTGCCAAACTCAGTTGTAAATATTGTAGTAATTTACTCTTCAAAGCAGTCCTGTGAGACAAGACTGTTAATATCCCCATTTTATGGGTTAGAAAATCGAGGCAAAAACTTGTCTAAGGTCACACAGTTAGTACCTACTAGAGTTCAGAGTCAGGACTTAATCCAGAGCCCACACTGTTATCCCCTGGATGCTACTATCATATATCCTCAAGTGCCATTTGAAAGGGGAGAAAATGTAACCTCTTAGCAGTGCAAATATCCGGGTTCACAGATCGGATTCCAGAGAAGATAACTTTCCTTCTGGCCTCAGGTTGTCTGCTGGTCTTATAGGGGAGTCACCACCTGATGAGCTGGGTTTGGTGCTAAGCTGCGAGCTGCTGCTCTGCTTCGCTGTGGGAGGAGAGGGAAACTTAACGGGTCAAAAGGGATACTTCTATATATTAAAGTAACTTCAGTGCACATAATTTCTATTTTAGAAAGACAAATAACTCTCACATTTGTACTAATTCTGGAACGGAGCCTGCAGGCTCTAGACATTTTCCTGGAGCTCTCCTCTTCTTTAATTCCCTGTTTTGAGAGGTCTTCTCTTTCTTTGGGTACACCTTCTCTCTCCGCTGGGGAAAATACACTGCTTTCTACATGCTGTTCCTAATCATAGATCCCTTCTAATCCAAGATCGCTGTTTTCCTCTTGCTTTTCTGGCTGCGCAGTCCATATGTGCAGTTGGCCGGTGACTCCCTGTTGTGCTGTAGATTTTAGAGGCTCTGCTTAACTGCACTTTGTTTTCCAAATGTGTGCCTGGCTTGGCTAATTTATGGCTTAGCTGCTTTATGCTAATCAGTGGCCAATCTTTCACATGTATCCAACCCTGGGTGTTTTGTTTTTTCTCCCTTTTCCTCTAGTGTGGACCTATTTGAAATATGGTTTTGCTTGTTTTCTATGCATATTTTCCCATTTGTATCTTTTCATATATCACCTATGTTTTTCACAATTAAATTCCAACAAAGACACTGTCAAGTGATGAAAAAGAAATGAGCCACATCTTTTCGTTACCACTTTAAATACCAAGTACATTGAGTAGAATTTGGGTAGGGGGAAAATGTTATAAACTGTTTTATTTTAAAGTTGTTTTAAACCACCTAACATATGAGAGAGAATCTGTATATATTTTGCTAAATAGGGTAGCAGCTCTGCATATTCTTTGTTTCCCAGTTTGGACTCCAATGCTAATAAGAAAATTTAAAAATTTTTTTCTTTGAAAAATGTTTTTGCTTAGGGTAAGTAAAACTTACTAAGTCATTGGCTTGGCCTAAAGAACTATTTCCAGGTTCCTTCTCCTGGCCATCCTTATCATTTCCCTGCCAGAATCCTCTGTTCACTCTAGGCCATAGTCCCTTCTTTTAATCCAGGACGTGATCAGTTTTGCCACCTGGGCTTTGGTCACCAATGAGTGATATTTTCTTTAGATTCATTTATCTTGGGGAATTTAAAAAACTGTTTATAACCCCCAAAATTTAAGTCTTGATGAATACCACTAGTAATAGCTGGTATTTATTGAGTAGCTGGGACCTGTGTTGTTTGCATGTAATTTTGACTTTACAAATCATCACAATAACTGTATCTAGTAGGTAGTACCCCTCAATCTGCAGGGGAGGAAACTGAGGATCAGAGTTCATGTTCATGAGCAGCAGAACGTGATTTCCTGGGCTTGGTCTCACTCCAAAGGCTATAGTCCTTCCACTGCTCACTTCCAGTCCATTTTAGAGTAAAAGCCTTATTAATAACATTTTTCCTCCAAAACAACTTTTTGGGATACCTTACCCATTCTGCCATTTCATATTTCTTTGAGATAAGAGAAAAGATTTCTTCTGTCACACGTTTTTGCATTGTAGGTTCTGAGTTCATGATAAAGGGCACTTTTTAGTTTAAATGGGATATCTATAATTTGCTACCTTTTCAAGATAAAATATCTTATTTTTCAGAAATATTGCAAAAATAATGACATGAATATTAATTGGGTATCAAACACTACTTCCTAGAAATATTTCTTACAAAGCATTCTCCCAAGACCACTTCTTAGGCCTGGTCAAATTGATCCTGTAGCTACAATGAAATAGTAAAGAGAAAATGGACTTGTGATCAGAATATCTGGCTTTAAGCTTTGGTTTTACCCAGTATTTGCTAGATATGATCTGGACAAGTCATCTGTTCTGTGTGTTCATTTTTTCCTCGGTTTATAGAGTGGAGATGAAAATATTTATCTCTTAAGATTGTTATGAGGGATTAAACTTTAAGGCACAACAGAGTGACACGATCATAATCATCTTCATTGTTGAGCGTCTTGCAGTTAACCACGAAGGGATCTTGCAAAGTAGCGCTGTGGACTGAAAGCCCCGTGTAATGTCAGGGATTTCCCCTGGGCTTCTCAGAATGGAAAGCGTGTTTATATCTCCATGCCTTTTGAAAGGATTCTGGGGCTATTGGCCTATGGTTAAGGCCTAACTTTATTTCTAAAGTGTTTTAAGTTTATTTTGATCCTAAGTTTGGTCAAGGAACGAAGCATAGAGGGGAGAGGCAATTTGCACAGTGATCCATGTGTCACCAAATGGAGCATCCAGTCTGGTCCGGGGATTTTTAACTGAGTTCAGGATAGTTGAGGTTTGAATTCTGTTTACACTTGGCCAAACACTACTTCCTGTTTCTAAAGAAAAGAACCTTAACAAGGTTTGGACGACATAGCCCATAAGAATATTTTGTAAGAGGGAAGTGTGAATGAGTTGGAAATGTTTCCAGATTAGATTTCCCTTAAAATACTGTTGGGTTGAAAGAGTGAAGGGAGAGTTCTTGGCAAGGCCTGGTTTGGACCTGTAAGCGGCTGGGACACTTTGCCAGGCCCGTGATCGCCACCAGATTGCACCGTAGCTGACACCCAGCCACAGGGCCAGCTCTGCCTGTTCCCGTGATGCCGACTTTAGATCACTCTCTAGCTTTACTGCACTGTTTTAGGCTCACTCTGACTTGTTGCAGTTTAGATGTTCAGTACTCTCTGCCTGGGTTAAATAGATTCTGCCTCTGTATTTTTTGAGCGGTTTTTAAAAACACAACTTGCTTCACAAATGCACTGTTATGACATTAGGGGCTTTGCCTGTTGGTGTTTTATTTATTTTGGAAAACCCACTTTGCTTTTATTTTTATCTCCCAGAGGACTTATGGGAAGTTGAAAAGACTTAGTCATTTTGTATTGGAATCTTCCAGGCTGGCATTTGAACTAAATAATTGACTGTCACCATCCATATCAAGTTTAAATAGAAAATATCTCTTTCTTCAAAGAGTGTGTATGTTACTTTTATCATTAGCAAGAAGACTACAGATGTATATTGTGAGAATAAAGAAATGTCTCTCATTGAAGGGCCATGTTGATATGTTACCCTTGTGCCAAAAGTAAAAGCGAGATGCTAACCTGTTTCTGTATTGATCTTTCTGTTCTTCGTAGGTGTCTGTTACTAAGGCTGACCAAGAACTGGGATTTGCCATCCAAACGTGCTTTATCTCTCCATATTCAAACCCCGATAGGATGTCTGATTACACTATCATTGAGAACATTTGTCCTAAGGATGAATCTGTGAAATTCTACAACCCCAAGAGAGTGCACTTTTCTGTCCCGCAAGCCGAGATGGATAAGAAGCGATTCAGCTTTGTTTTTAAGCCCATCTTCAACACCTCGCTGCTCTTTCTGCAGTGTGAGCTCACGTTATGTACCAAGAAGGAAAAAGACCCCCAGAAGTTGCCTAAGGTTAGTGGGCCTTCGTCCATTCGTACTGTTAACTTTGACATTTTTAGGCGAGGCAGCCTGACTTACCAGAGACATTTAATCACAAGTTATTGCAGGTGGAGGTTTTTGGTTTGGGAATTGCCCAATTGAAGTAATAAAGTCCGTGTGAGCAGGGAACTGTGAATTTTCTGGAGTCGTAGGGAATAAATCCTGACAATATGATTTTTTTTTCCATGCATGTTAAGTAATGGTATCTTACAGATGATAAATCAGGACTGTTTTCCATCGAGGGAGAGGTCTGGCTTTATCTTTGCTGTTCAGATAGTGTGCGGCGCCAAAAGCACAGAGAGCCGAAAGGACAAGTTCAGTGTGAGGATTAATTTTTCCAGATCCTGCTGAGACTTGTATTGCAATTGTTTTTTGACCTTCTCTGTGTGAGTTATAAGGTTGACTTGTCTCAGGAGGACTTCTAAGGGAAACTGACAAATATTTCAATTTTTCTCAGTTCCATATCGGTTCCTGATGTTTACCTCCTACTACCCCCATGTGGAACCGGTACATTCTGTGCAGAAATCAGAACCCTTTGGCTTGCTGGAATGGCTACTGTAGGAGGGGTGAGCAAGGTTAATTGCCTCACTAGGTTGACCTTGTGCATGAAGAGTGTCTTCTGTCATGGTTTTGTTTTTGTAGTCTGCTGTAATTATGTATAATTTCATATGCGCATTTATTCTGTAGATATTTGACATAATGTAAGTTTACCTCTCATTCTTTTGTAGTCACATATCAAACAATGTCTAAAAGTCTAATAATTGAGCTATATCATTAATAATGTATTGTATGGCTCAGTGGTTGAGCATCGACCTATGAACCAGAAGGTCACAGTTGAATTCCATCCAGGTCAGGGCACATACCTGGGTTGCAGGGCTCGAGCCCCTGTACGGGGCGTGCAGGAGGCAGCCGATGAATGACTCTCTCATCATTGATGTTTCTATCTCTATCCCTCTCCTCTCTCTAAAATCAATAAAAACATAATTAAAAACATTAAAAAATAATAATGTATGCATGGAATTCTTCCACTTAATACATAAGTGGTAAGAGATAGGTGTAGAGTTAGGAGGGAAAATTATCAGCATCAGATAGGTGACCACTGATCTGAATCCTTTGCACTGTTATATTCCCCTGGGCATCCATTTCCCTGATAATGCCAAATAAAATTTTTTAGTGCATATGAAAATACAGCCAATCTGATCACAATCATTCGGGAGCTCATTTGTACTTACAGGGTGATTTAGACTGTGTTCTTTAGGTTGCTTTTGGAAACATTGATGCCTTAGCCTTGTGGTACTCACCTTCCAGTGACCATCGAGGTTGGGACTTTGTGGGCAGTGGTAGAGAGCCACAGGGAACTGAATGCTTGGCTGTGAGACTAGCTGTTTCCTGCAGGCAGAGGATGAGTGTTAGGAGTTAGGGATCTAGTAGGTGAGGCCTGGCAGTTACTGGGGTGTTTATTGATGGCTTTGGCTGTTATCTTTCACTGAGCCTGGCCTGTAGAAGCCCAGCTTCGTTGTGTGTTCATCTGTGAAAATTAGTCCTAATGTTTCCTTCAGAACATTCTAAGGGGAGCTGTAAGTCCCAGAGAATGACATGGGAATGTTACCCTAAATCTGACGCCACTGTTTATACCCAAGGTAACAGTGGAAAGAGCATGGGAACTGACAAGGAAGGCCTGCTGCTTATTAACAGGACTTTAAGCAAATCCCTTGATCTCTCTGAACCAGCCTTTCCTCATCTATAAAATTGATATAATAGTACCTGGCTTCCTTCCTAGGTAGAGAAGCAAATGAGATAGTAGATATGACAGCGGTTCACCATCTATAGACCTGTTACCACTGTCTCCCTGTTTACTGCTTATAGTTAATATTTTTATATTTCTAGTGGCTTCTGAGTTCTTTCTATGACAATAGACAGTGCCAAAGAGTCTTCCAGGAAGCAGTCTCAAAGATTGTTGAGTCCAACCCTGCTCTTTGCTAATGAAACTGAGGCCAGAGAGTCCAGTGTCTTGCCCAGAGTCACGCAGTGAGTTAGCCATAGCATCTTGGGCTCTTACTTAACTGAAGAACTAGTAAGAAAGTAAGAAAGATTTTCCTAAAATGCAAATCTTTTCAATAATGATGCCTCTTCACAGAAAATCCATTGTTTCCCTTGACAAGAGAGCTATTGTAAAGGCTTTTCTGTGTTTTTGGATGGAGATCTGGTTATAATATGTGTCTGACTCTCATGTTTCTCAGAGCAGCAGTGACAGTAAAGCCAAAAGTCTTTGCTCTTTTGTGCCTGAAAGAACTGGGAGTTAATTCACTTTTGAGGTGCCTTGCTATAGACTTTTCAAATGGTCAATACAGCCCTACTTGGTTTGCTCAGTGGTTAGAGTGTTGGCCCGCAGACTGAAAGGTCCCTGGTTCGATTCTGGCCAAGGGCACGTACCTCAGGTGCAGGCTTGATCCCTGGCCCTGATTAGGGCCTGTGCGGGAGGCAACCAATTGATATGTCACTCTCACATCGATGTCTCTGCCCCCCCCCCCC